GCAAATGGATGTTTCCCCAAACAGCCATTTCGAATAATATAAAGGATTTACCGTATTGGAACAACCATTTGTTTCTGGTTGGGACTGGATTCCCAGGTTACCAAAAAACTTGAGCATCCCATCCAATCCCTCTTTCTCGCACCCGCCTTTGGAACCTGGGCCCTGGGCGGCCTGTGCCAAGAGATGACTTGTCGAATCCCTCGAAGACGTTGAAAGGGAATTCTGTTTGTTCGAGTGACCCATCCCATGTCCGGCATGCGAAGTTCAGTGATAGCTTTCAGTGTCCAGCATGGCACCGGTGTCCAGCATGCGCTGCGCAGTCTGCCCTTCGGCAACTTTGGACTCTTCCCACCGGTCGCCGGATGTGATGCTCGTGGGGTTTTTTTCGTGGCTTTCCTCCCATCGGCAGGTGAAACGATCCACTCGTCCGATCTCCGATCCAGGCTGAAACCGGGCCGATCCCCAAAACAAGACCGGGTCTGATAGGGAGAAGGTCTGTACCAATTGACACCTGTTAGGCTGCCTGTTAGGGCCCTTCCCAACCCTTCAAAGGAGACCTGTTGGTTTCGTTGCTGGTAGGGAGAAGGTCTGGAGATTGGGAGAAGGTCCGGTCACCGCCCCGAGGGAAGCTCCGGCCCAGTCGACCCGCTTCGATCGATTCCGGTCGGGTCCGGTCGACCGGTCGCCACACGGGCAACGGACGAGTTGGGAGGGTCGAAGGCACCCCACACGAGAGGACGTGTGATGTGGGAGGCATGGCATATACCTGGATCTGACCCTTACTTCTGACCCTTGGAACGGCCGAAGTTCATCTCCAAAAAAAACCGCCCGAGGTTGACAGGACATGACGTTTTGCCGTAGATACTTACTTGTGTCCGATCCAGGTATGGAGGGATTGAAGCCTCATTCTGGAGGTGTCGACCGAGTCTAGTCTCCCAATTCGGAACTCGATCCTCATCTTTTGTGACTTCTCAGACAAGATGTGCCTCCACGAGTACCAGCCTTGCCGAAGGCCGGTGCCGATGCTGAAACCGGTGTCTTTCCAAACGGGAGCAAGCAAGAAGGGGGGTTCAAGGAAGGCTTGGTGAGTTCTATGAGTTCAGAACACCTCTCCCTATTTCCGCGCTTCATCTTTTTGTGTGTTGCCTTGGCGGGGCGTGATGTTTCGGTTTCTCGGTTTTTTTTGGGGTGGCGTGGAGCAAAACTCCTTTCGGTTCTCAGTTCCCGCTCGTTGTTTGTCCAAAGATCCGCATGTTTCTTTATCGCAGCGAGCTGCTCTCTGTGGAGCAGCCACCATGAACTCCCCACTTAGGATCCGGATCCTCACGATCCAACGACCCGACCCTTCCAACCACGTCCCCCAGTGGGTCCGAACCCTCCGTCTGGGCTCGGTGAGGAATCGCTCACCGCTGCGCGGAGAATCGCTTTTTGATGAGTATGCTTCGGGGTCACTGAATGAGATGCGATGATTTCATTGAGTATGTTGCCAGATACGACCAGGACCGTAAAGAGGTGTTTTTACTTTAGCCTCGGTTTACAGAGGTGAGGTGATTCGGGGTGTCCCAAAAGCACCGAACTGAAGTCAGGTCCTGTTAGATCATGTTTTCAAGACTTCCTCCTTCCATGCCATCTGGCTGGAAAGCACCATGGGTTTTAGCATCCTAGATTGAAGGAAGGCTGCTTTTGAACCAAAGCGCCTGACAGCTCAAGGGTTGACCACTCGCAACAGCAAAGCCAACAGAACTGGGCTCAATTCTATAGTCTTTATGATTTTTTTGTCTCTTGTTTATGGTTGGGTTTCCGGATGTTTCCTTTCTAGCTGCTTCTTTTGTTTCGTCCATGTTGTTCCTTTTTGCTTCGATTCTGGTTCCTATTTTTCTTCCCATGTTTTCCGCTTTCGAGCGCTGTTCTTTTTGATCACACCCGTTTCCTGCGAAGCATTTCAGCATGGAAACACCGCTGGTTTTTGCCCGCAGCACCCCGACACCCCTATCCGGTGGCCCCCCTGCGCCGAAATTCCGAACGCTCAGTGGCTGCGGCAGCAGATTCAGCAGATCAACACCGAAGCCAGGCGGCGATCACGTGCGCGAGCGCCAGTTGGAAAGGTGGGAGTTTGGGGGCGAGTGAAGAGAGTCTTGAAATATCCAAGTGAAATTGATTACTGTGTAATACTGTGTATATAATTTGTATATATATATACTTATATATTTGGAGAGATACACCTACATTACCAATGGGACACTGCCCATGTTTGAACAGATCCGTTGGCTTTTCACCCTGTTTGGAAACGTACCGACCTTCATCTTTGCGTCACATCCATATGCAAAAACTCACATGGAACCCTGAAAACCCACGGCGGTTTGGTCGAGGAAAACCGTCTACCTCGGGGTGCACGTCACGCCAATGCACCGATGCACCGATGTGCGCGCCTGTTTTTCAGGCAGCTTTCGGACCGAGGGTTCGTTTGGCGCCGGCCTTCAAACCCCCAAGCAGGAGAGGCCTTCAAGAACCTGTCTCCTTTTGGTGGTCGCGCGGCGTTCCGAACGCAAAGCTTTCCGGGGTTGTTGGAACCCCCGCCCTTCGGCCCCTGTTCTTCACCCCCCGTCGACGGCGAGCCCGGCCGACGGAGGGCAGGGCTCGACCGGTCGGCACCGGGCGCAGGTCGCCAAAGTTCACGGCTCGGGGGGCCCGGGAGGAGTCGACAGCGGCGGGGGCTCGCAGGTGCGGGTGACCGGTGAAACCTCAAGTGAAAGGGCGCCCAAAAAGGGGGCCATGAGCCTGGGGTGTGTGTATGTTTGGTTTCTCTTTTGGGGAGGACTGGAGGACTGGACCTAGCAGGTGGGAAAGGAGCTCCTGAGACCTTTCCGCCTGGCGGACCTTCCGATGCTTGGCGGAAAAGACATGCATCACTGATGAATCGGTCTTCATAGAGACGGCGCTACGGCTATCCATCTTGCAGCTCAGAAATGGCCATCTTGCAGACGGTGTCTGTCCGAACCTACCTGTAACAGGGCCTGGAAACAAGAACATCACGATTTTTGAACAAGGCCTTTAGTAACCATCATTATCCACTGCTACTGGTAATAGGATAGACCCAAGCCATGCAAAAGTAGCCTAGAATTGCCGAAGCTGATTCAGGATGCTCCTTGATGGCTGAAATCTGCTTGAGAAGGATGCACAATAAGGGGCGAGCTCTGAAATATCAGTCTCTATGGTAGAAACGCAGACCGACGGTGCAACACACCGCATTCCTTTTTGGAACAGGACTGTGCCGTGCCCTTCGATTGTCAGCTTTTCCTGAAGACCTTCCATCACCCTTTCCTCATTTTGTTTGAGGTGGGTCTGTTTGTCCTCCAGCTTGCTTCGACGAACGGCTGAGGTCTCTCATCCGCCTAAGGCACCGATGATCCGATGATGGTCGTTAAGGAGTTAGGGAGAGACAGTGTGGATCAAACCATCAAAGCCCCAAGCTCCACTTTTATTTAATTCGTTTACTATTAAGTTGTATTATGTTCACTTGTATTATGTTATGTCTATTTATGTGGTTTACATACTACATTATACATGAGTATAATATACTCTTAATATCTCTGATTTATATATGTATACTTATATTATTGCTTTGTATTCAACGTATATGTTTCGATGTCTATCTATCATATTCTATCTAAAAAACACTGTCACGTTATATGATACACGTCATATGATACGCATCACATATATGTACATATATGTATCTATACCTTCGACCCAGTTGACATCGGCTGGTTTCTCCAAGGGTTCCAAACGTCATGTGGCCGCTGTGCATGCTGGTCGCATCAGGTGTTACTTCAAATGACAAAAGGAACAACAGCATTCGGGACATTTGGGGACGGCAAGCAGGAAGCTTGACCGGTTTTTCTGGTTCTATATATAGTCCATACCTGGTTCTATACCTGTGCAACATGTTCTGCCAACCAACTGGCTGGTTTATTAGATGCAGTTCGGCTGCACAGAAGTTCGGAAGATCCAGGCAGAACTTCTCCATCGACGGCCGAAGACTGCGACGTCTCGTCTCTGCACTTCTCCAGGCGGAGGCCGTGCGACCGCAGCGCTGCGAGTTACCCAAAGTGGACCAGGCGCTGCCTTTTCCGGTGGCTCACAGCTTTTTGATGTTCGTTTTGTTTGCCATTCCTCCCTTTTTTTGGTATACGGTACCAGCACCGACTTCACAGGTCACCAATTGAAACCAGTAGAGTCAGGGCCCAACTCCCAACCCTCCAAGGCTTGGAGACCTGTAGAGTCAGGTGCTGGTCTACGGTATACCGTTGTTTTTGTTATTTTTGCGTTCTTCCTTCCTTCCGGTCGGTGCGTGGCCGCCGCGGCGTGGACCGAGCGTCGTGCGCACTTGTGCCGCTGCCGAGTGCACTGGGTGTTTTTTTTCCCCAAACAGCTGACTGTTAGCGGTTACTGCTACTGTTAGGTTGGGACGTCCCACCCGGTTGGGGGTCCTTCCTTTGTGATGGTTTTTTCCATCTTCGTTGAAGCCGAGATCCGAGCGGAGGAGCTCAGGAGATAGGAGATCCACCCGCTTGAAGTCCACTTGTTGATGGCTCCCCCGGCGGTGCCGCGCCGCGGCATGCGGAGGCTCAACAGATTCAAGCGGTGGAAGCATCGAACCAAGACCTGCAAGGCCTCGGAATGGCTGGGCCGGAATCTCGCGCGCTCGACGGCTTCGGTTTTTTAAACCGATGGACTCTTTGGGTCGTTTTCTTCTTCTTCTTCTTCTTCTTGACAGCGGCATAGATTCAAGTCAGTGTTCTAGTGTCTGGGTATTTAAATTTGGGTTCCTTCCTTTGGCACCAGCTTGATGGTTGAGACTGGAGAGTTCCATCCAGAACTGTTTCGGGACCGGTCAAAACGCCAAAAACGCCGTCGCCACCTTTCCGGACAGCGACTGCTGGGCTTCCTCCACGCCAATTTGGTCACTTCCGGACCGGGAGGGAAAACCATTGGAAAGCTTCGGCTCGGCCGGAAGGAGATCGGGTCAGTCGTCGCCACTGGGGAGCTCCATCCACCACGAACCTGGGACTGGGCTCCTCCGCACCGAACGCCAGGGCAGCGCCGCTGGGGCGACTCAGGTCCGAGAGGCATGACGGTTCACCGCGGGAGGTTAGGTCGCCCGAGAGACCGTGACCTGCTTGTTGAAGCTACTGAACCAGCTGAAACTAGGCCCCAAAAAGGCCCAGGTCTGTATGGTTGACTCACCTGCCCTTCAGTTTGATTGGTGGAACCTCCTGATGTTCCTTCCGACATACCTCTGTGATGAGTCAACCAACTGAGGCGGAGGTGAGATGGTGTTCATCCCGGCAGATGGCCAGGATGGGGCAAGTCCCGGGCAGGGGGTGGGCATTGAAGCTGCTGGGGCCTATGTAGGTTAGGCCCCTGTAAGTCTGCAGCAAACAAATCTACTTGACAGCTGGGCTGCTGAACGCGACCATTTCTGGAGTGTTTGATGTCTTTGGAGTGTTCCACCATTGATGTTCATTCATTTCTGTTCATTGATGTCTGGGCTCCAATGTGAATGAGTGTTTGATGTCTTTCGGACCTTCACATTGGCCTCTGGAAGGTAGGTTTGGTGCTCGGTAGGTTTGGTCACCACCGGGAACCGGGTGAGTGGTTTGGCGCGACCGGACTTCGCGTCTTCAACGCACGCGCGGTTGTGATGGATGGGGTGGTCCCTCTGAAGGGCGGGAATTTGATGACAACCTTTCAACATCATTCAACTAGACAAGCAGGAGTTCCTTGAAACTTGGTGTCAAAGAGGCAGGTTTGTTTGCGCCGGGGGGTTTGGGAGGCTTCTGAAGCCTACATGCAAGGTTTTTCTTAGCCTTCTCGCCTCTTTTCGACCAAAGCAACTTTCCATAGAACGTTCTTGGAAGAAGTATGCATGCAAACTCTGGTTCCTCAGTTTTGGGGGCTATCTTCTGGCGATCGCTCTTAGCCTTGGATTTCGATCGGTTACTGTAGTAGTACTTACCACTGGCTTGGCATAGCAGGCTTTGTCGAGTTCCTGGCCATGCCCAACGATGTAGATAGTTGCAGGATTGCCGACAGCATTCTGCAAGGGATTCACAGTTTTCCTGGCCCGGAATGGGGGATGCGCAGCGCTGTTGCAGGATGTGGATGATGAGGACAGAAACGCTTGGAAGCCCCTGGGAACACATCGCGTTCCATTGGTTCTTGTGACCTGAAGCGGTGTGGAAACTGTTGCGGATGCCAGGTGTGCCGACTCCAAAAGTGTAAGCCCAACCAGACCAGCCACGTGTCTCACGACCTGGCAGCCCCAGTTGGGTTCTCCAAACCTCTGAAACCGTTGACGAGGACCCGATGAGCGTGAATGGGACCACCGCCAACCATCTGACGCTCGATCTGACGAACGGCCGGTTTTTGGACGAAACGACCCCTCACGTCCACCACAACCAGGTCGAAGTCTATATCCCAGGGTAGGTGTTCATACGATCTTCAACTGAGCCTTCCTGAATGTAGCCTCTTGATGATATTTCAACTCCCTCCATTTTTTGACGTTCTTTTTAAATCAGATGCATGCTGGGGGCGGTTGATTCATCAAGAGCCTTTCTTTCACTTTAAAAAAAGAGGAACTGCCCGGGGCTCTTGGGTTTGCTGGTGAGATGTCCCTTTTTGACCTTGATCTTCGGCAGAAAGGGGTTCCCCATAAACCTCGCCCCTGGAAAGCGGAGCTTCGTTGGTGTTTTGGATGTTTTGGATGTTTTGGATGCTCGAGGTCGAACTGAGGGGAAGACCCCTCTTATAATACACCCAACCAGCCGCGTGGCGTCACCCGGAAACACCCACCCCAGCTCGTCTTAGACTGGTGAAACCACCCCACCAGTGACACTGACTCGACACGCGCTCTCGTCTCGTCTGACCCAGTGGGGCGGAAGCCACTGCGGCGCAGGAAGGATTGCACGCTCGGCGGAGGATTCGCTGGAGGTTGCTGGTGAAGCTGAGGCCGCCTCCGTCTGCTGTGGGTCTCGGTCGTATGGAGGTCGCGCCGTGACTCGGCACCGTAACCAGGAGGATCTCCATTTATGGCACCTGACAGGTCCAGGTCGTCCTCCAACTCTGAGCAGTTGATCTTGCCTGGAAGCATCATTTTCACACGTGGAGTCGATTCTGAGAACGCCCATGGGCGTCCCTCCACTTGGTTGAAAGTCGAGGGATAAGGATGGGGAAGGTGTGGAGAGCACGACCCTGTAAGAGAGCGCAGGAGGCTTGGAAGTTTGGGATTTGGCTTGTTCGTGGCCTCAAAAATGGATGGGAACCCACCTTCAATCAGAGCAGCCAATCACTTCGACACAAGGATTTCCGCCAACAAACAACTCGCAAACACCGTCTCTGTGTCCACAATTTGAGGTTGCAACTCGCTGACGCGACATCGCCGGGTGCAGACGACAGGTTGACGAGAGGTCAGGACCCTTTGAAAACGAAGCCACAAATCGGCGAAGCCATCGCGACATTTGCGGCGCTTCTTTTTTTCGTTCGCATGGCCCATGGCTTTTTGATGCAAGAGGGCTTGTGTGTCGTAGACCATTTGTAGACCAATGGCTGAACAACCCCCACTTGTTTCTGGTTGTTTTGGTGTCCCGGTTTAATGTCAGACACCTGCCATCAGCAGTTCACCCCCGGTCGCTCTGCACCCAAAGCTAGGGACATGGTCACATGTCCTGACCGAGCCCGCACACCGCACAGATGTTCGAAGGATATGAAGGCCTTGGACTCTTCCGAACGGGGTGGTGTTGGGTCCCCAACCTCGGATCGCACTCCAGGTCTTGAGGTCTCCATCCGCCGGCTAACCGGCGGCGCGACCCGTTCAGGCCGAAGCGGAAGAGCAAGGCGCGCCGGGTCGCCGACTCGCCGCTCATGTGGTGTGGCCCCTCGATCCAACGGTCACTGTGGATGAAGTTCCATCAGCCGAACTTCCGAACTTCACACTTGGAAGATCCAGGTCTGTGGCCAGGTCTGTGGCCAATTCTGGGGGTGCTTCCGACCCCAAGTCCGTCTCTTAAGACTCATGCCAATCTACACGCACACATCCATCCGAAAGGTACGAGTAGGATGACCATCCAGTCCATTTGGGTGTGTATTAAAAAGCAGCCGCCCCCCTCGGTTCGGTTCGGAACATCATCACCAAAAAGCCGGTTCGGGGTCTCCCTGTTGAACATCAAATACACACCTACCAGGGTCTCCTAAGGGGTGGTGAATGGATCTCCCTTATATTGGATTCATTAGACAAACCCAACAAAGGCCCCCCCTGGTATATGAACTTGTGACATGGTTGGACCGGATTTGAGGATCAGATGCTGTCTCCTTCCGATCCTGAACCACCTGTGAAGTGTACCTCGGGTGCTGATCACCAAACACTTCTAGTTTTGCTGACCCACCATTGATATAATAGCCTGAAGACCGAAGCACACTATTGAAAAGAAACGGATTTTACACTACAACACCAGGTCAACCATGTCTAAAGATGGAACACCACGGGTTTGTTTCGATCGGGAATCGATGTGAAACAACACCCACCCCCGGTTGGATTTCCCCTCACATCCATCGATAAAGGACTCAGCTGTGTGTTTTCTTCTTTTTTTTAACCACTTCTTTTCATCAAAGATGCAAACAACTCATGGAACGAATCAGTCCATGAATCAGTCCAGCTCCTTACTACCCTGAAACCGCAGTACCCGGCGAAAGATGCAGCTGGAATCGATCCAAAACTTGGCTCCTGAGGCTCTTGGATATGAAGACTCTGACCTTGTCACCAGACTCGTTTTTTTCTGGGATTCGATGCTTCCGCATCATGCCAGATGTTTCGGCGGATTCGATGCGACCTGCGGCGGCTTTCCTTGAAACCGGCTATCCTTGAGTCACCAGATGTCACTTGAGTCTTAAACAGGTTTGAAGCATCCAAACGGCCGGATTTCGAGTCAGATCTTGGCCAGGTTGAGGCCAAACCAGCAGGTCAGGAGGAGCCGCAAGCGCACGGTTTTTTCGCGGTGTTCGCGCTATTTCAGATGGCTTCATGCCCTTCAAATGTTCCAAGAGCAGTTAGGAGTGAAATTTTCCCGCCCAAACACCCATCGTTTGGTGAAGTACAGGCACCCCCTTGTAACAGCTTCCGTAGAATCTACCCCAGGCTTAGAAGGTTGGCTGGAGCGAGATGGCACGATGATTCCACTTGGTCTTTACCAAATCACCATTGACCAGAGAGATTTTGTGATACAGTTTCTTGCATGGTCTGCCAGCCAGTGTCCTACCGACTCGCGAGGTGACCTGGGGGAGAGGCAGTTTGATGTGGAAGCAGGGATGGGGATGGACGACTGTGGGAAGAATCCCGATGCCAACTAGGAATTGACTGCAAATGCGGCCACAGACAACACTTCTTGGCAAGCGTGAAAGAAAGAAATGCAGAAAGAACGAAAGAAAAGAAAGAAAGAAAGAACGCAGCCCAGGTGCTGTCCCGAGCCAGCTGCTTTTAGGGAGCTTTGCAGCTTCGCCAAACGACATGAACTTTACCGTTTCGTCTTTGTTGGCCGTGTCCCCCGCGTCGCGGGCAACGAAAACAGGAGCTTCGACTGCCTGAAGAGGCCAAGGCCAAGTCGAGAATCGCAGAGAACCTTTTTTCCTATTCGGAATGTGCGGAATTTGGAAATATACAAATCGCACAGAGAAACTTTGAAGGAATTCACGGAAAGTAATGTCGATGTGTATATATACACTCTGAACTATTGTACACATTGTACACTAGTTCCCATGTCCAAAACGATGCAACGACTGGGGGATTCGCTTGGCTGTGCGTTCTCAGTTTGTTAGAATGACGTCTCTTCAAGTCGACCACCCGCAGGTGGCTAGGCTGGAGGAGGGACCTCAGCCGTGCGGAGGGGGAGGTCTAGACCTGCAGGAAAGAACACCAGAAGCCACCGCCGGACGGACGTTTCCATCATTTCTTCTTACTTTTTCGTTGTGGTGAAGAGTGGCAAGCCGGCTTTCCAGTGCAGAACTTCAAAATTTCTTCCAAAGTGAACAGCTGTTTTGGCACGTTTTGGAGTCTGATTTCAACAGAAACCCTGCGGCGGTCTTTCCTCCAACCATGGGTCCACTGGCGGACATCAAAAATGCACGCGGGATGCCCCAGGCATCGATCTCAAGAACACCACGTGCATGTTCCCAAAGTCGAGGAGGTAGCCGTGCAGAGGTAGCTGTCCAGCCCCCAAGTTAGCCAAGCCGGAGCCCGTGCTGTGACACATGACGGCCATGTTTCGGCCGAAGCCGGGCGACCGTGGGGGGTGGCTGGGCACCTCCACATTTGCACCAGTCGGAGACGCGTTGGACTGAGAACTCCGCAGGAGATCACCTCACCCATCGAGGAGGAGTGGGGGAGATGGGCTTCTTTTGCCGCGCGCGCGCGTCGCGGAGACCCGTCGCGTTCGTTGAGCTGGCTCGGTCTCAGGTGCTGTCTCAGCACCTTGGGGCAGGGTCAGGCCACGTATGGCTCCCAGTGGAAAAGGATCAAAACAAAGCGCCCAGCCCTACGGGGCGTTTGGACTTGGCGTGGTTCGTGCATGTCGTCAATTGGGGGTTTTCTCCCAGAGACGGTGGAGTCGGTGGAGCGCAGTTCCACAGCAAGTCAACGGGCCGCGCCCGGCCGCTGGTGGCAAACGGAAGCCATGTATACGTACTACTTCAGCTAGGTGTCTAATGTTTGTATCACAGAAGTTTCTCTTCTTAAACGTTGAACACATGTTCATAGCGGTTTGTATTCCGCTATACGGGTGGACGCCTCCCTTCTACCATGCGTGGAGAGACCTGCCCAGGGCTTTGAAGACCTTGAAGGTGGTCCCTTTGCTGGTCGGCTGGACTCCCAGAGCCACCGGTGGACCGTCCGCATTGCGGATGCCAGGTGATGGTTTTGTTCAAGGCATTTTTTCTATTTTTGCCCTGTGATTTTCAATGAATCCCCAAACCGTTTGAGAATCGTGTTATTAGTTCTTTTTTCTTTTAATGTTTTTCCTCTTTCCTCTTTGTTCTCCAGGCTTGAAAAACAAGCACATCATCCAAGATTCATCCCGGGGTGGGTGCTGGCTCCGGGAGTGTGGACAGTTCTTCTGGCGAGCCATGCTGGGTTGAACGACCTGCTGCCAGCCGGAACCCATCTGGATGTGCGGAAGGATGTGAGCAGAATGGTTGGAATGATAATGACTGGGTGAACAAACCACCCCAGAGGACCTGTTGAAGATGTTTTGAGATGATATTCAGTTCTTTTTTGCTCTCTGAGATGGCAACATGTCTGCTTTCAGCTCTTCCTCTGGCTGGACTGTTCCAGCAGCGAACCCAGGTGGGAGCCCTGAGAATCAAGTCTGTGGAACGGTAGAAGCAGATTCCGGATTTGTATGGTTACCTTCCCTCTGAATGAATGCAGTGCATGTTTTCACCCTCCAAACCCAACAAAACACCCTCCAAGAAAATACACCTCCAAGAAATCGTCCAGACGTCCCGTCACTGAGGCTTGAGAATTCCAAAAAGAAGAGGCTCTGAGACCGGAGACCGTTGAGTCAAGACATGTCCAAAACCTTCAGAATGCTCAAATGTTCCCGAAACGACCGACACCGTGCTGGTTTCGTGTGGTTTTCGTGATTTCAGGGTTCGGTCAAAGCCTTTGTCGGGAGGGTGGCCGAACCAATACAGAGGGTTTTGAGGGCCCGGACCCTTGCTATGGAGGGTCCAACCCCTACCATAGAGGGCCCGCACGGATTCTTAGGGTGCCAAGATGACATGACAATTCTGTACAAGCAGAAGGCTGTGCAGATATTTATTTTCTCGCTCAGATGCCGGGATTGCAGAACAGAAGACCAAAAGCATCCTGTTATGGCTTCTCACCACGTGGGATTGGTTCACGGGCCAAGTCGCGATCTGGGAGTGTATTTTCACACAGGGAGACACCTGATTTCCCCAATGGATAGTGGATTTCTGGAACCTTCCAAGGGGTCGGGACGGGAGGGTCTTCCCATTTCTTCCGGAATGGCTCACGGCCGAATCCCTTCACAACATCACCTCTGCTCCCCGAGACCCACCGGTGGCAAGCGACCTGAGACCCGTGAACGACGCCGGTGTGCTCCGCAGCCGCGCTGCGCGGTGTCAGGAACCAAGCGTTCAAAGAGATTAGCTTGAAGTCCGACAAGAACGCACGAATTCAAAGGCCCTTTTGGGAAGCAGTGATGATGGATCCAGGATGATCCAGGTGTCTTGTTGATACTGATCTACTGTCTATCAAAAAGGGGTTGATTGGTGGGCAGGGTGTCGACGTCGTCATGGGGTACGTCCAGGGGTCAGTCGGCGAGTCAGCGGCGGTCCGGTTCATAAGACGTTTGCTTTCGCCCCCAGAGGTTGCTTCTGGGCAGTTCAAGGGAAACATCTACAGGAAGCCCATGATCACTTCCGACTGTATGGGTTTTCCGGTCGATGTTCGGTTCCAGAGATGTTCAAAGGACGGACGTGCAAGGACTGGATGCAATTCAGCGGTCCGTACGCCAGAAAGCCGTTCGAATCTCCTGAAGCTCGGTTCTGGCCACTCGTGAACACGCCCTTCAACCAAAAACCACGAAAGTGAACACGAGTGTGGGCGCTTTCGCCATCCGTCACGGTCTTTTGGGTGATGCTTTTCTCCTGAACCCGCCGCTGCACGGTCTTCGGTCCGCTGCGTCCAGAAGCTCCCAAATCACCGCGGCACGCCCGGACATCAGCGGGCATTGGATCGGTCGTGACATGTGAGGCTGAACAACCGACGCAAGCAGATGTACAAGGCCCCCCCCGCCTTGGATGGTTTTTGGAGAGAAGTCGAGTTTTTCCAGGACCATGGACCGACATGGCTGACGCTTTCCTTCATGGGACAACAGGTGGCCTTTTATTCTTTGGATGTGGGTCACACGGGGGTTCGATCCTGTCACTGAAGACTCCCAGCCACGCTTTGACATGGGGAGCCACGCTTGATCATCTCAGAAAGGTGTGAAGGAGCCATCCTCACCGCAGCACCGAGCTCTCTCAGCCTTTTCATTGGGCGGTGGAGCTCGGCATTTCAAGCAAGCTTGAGCGACACACTAGGTAGGTCAAACCGGTCGGGTCCACAATTCCTTTAAGGCTCGACCGTGCCTGGCGAGCCCCAATCCGTCGCCCAGGGCCAAGAGGACGAGGACTGGCAACGGGAAGACCACCGGGCCGCGGGGCCTTTGCCAGTGTCGGAAGCGCTTCGCCTTTCGGTTTGAGACGCTTCTTCGTCCGGTGGGGAGCAAGCGAGTGCCGGATGCAGCTCCGGGCTGCAGGGTGGACAGGGAAGTCGAAAGGTGTCTGAAAAGAGGTGTCCAGTTTGGGGGCAAAGTCGGCACTTGGGGGGGGGAATTGAACCTGTTTCCACCCTGTGGAGCGGTTTATCTTTCGGGCATCCACCCGTGTGTCTTCCGGAGCGGTACTTGATGACTCATGACTCGACCTTTCAGGAGGCCAACCACAACACCAGACCCACATGGTCTGGGGGAGACCCACATGGTCATGAGGAGTCTGAAAGCTTTGGGAGAAAGCGCTACATGGGATGTGTAGGCTCTCGTTCTGGAGCGAAGACGACCCAACCCAAACAAAACATCTGAACCAGCACCTGACTCTACAGGTCTCCGAGCCTTGGAGGGTTGGGAGTTGGGCCCGAAGACAGGACAGGTTTCAATTGGTGACCTGTGAAGTCCGGCGGTGCTGGTTCTTGCTCTTCGTTCAGCTCGTGCCGCACCATCACATCATTCGTCGTTCACCGCACCTGTTGGCTCTTCAGTGCCTCCACGGCGCCGCGTAACGCGGCCGGAGGGATCGGAGTTCGTGTGTGGGGCCGAGTGTGGGGCCGCGCTCGGGTGGAGCCCTGGAAGAGGAATTCTCCGACAAACATGGGAGGCCTTTTCCATGTTGCATATGATTGCATATCGTATTATATCGTATTCCTGAGTGATTCTTCTTCTTAATTACTCACTTTTTGTGAGCGAAGAGAAAAGAACCGGATATAGACTACTGCCTCTGGCACCTGGCATGGAGTATATTATCGTGAAATCGTTGTATATATAATCGTGCAGTAGTTGTTTCAGATTCAATTAATCAGCCAGCACCCTCACTACCAGCTCTCCTCGTTTGAGGATTGGGAAGGGCCCGAAGACAGGTCTCAATTGGTGACCTGCTGGAGGGTGGATTCTTTTTTTGTGTGTGTTTCTGGAGAGTATACGTTCTTGCCTTCACAGATTGGTCACAATGACTCATAGATCATTTCCAGGACCGCCCGAGTTCGGTGGTTTTGGACACCCCGGACACCCCGAATCACTTCTTTACGAGGCTATTTGGCTAGACACCTCCTGTTTGGTCCTGGTTGGTCTCATCCGCTTCGACCCTGGGCGTCCTCCAGACCGTCTCAGGCTTCAATGACGCTGGGTGCCGGGCTGCGTGGGCGAGCAGTGAGGTTCCGTCCCGTGGGTCGTTACTCTGGGCCGGGGCCGTGGCTGACCCCAGAGTGTCATGGATGCTTTTGTAAGGATCATATATAGCCCTCAAACAGATAGGGTTTGGTTCGGGCCTGGACCCCTGCTATCGAAGTCGGGTGTGACCCCTGTCATGGAGAGCCAAGGACGGATTCTCAGGGTGGCAGATGTTTTTTGGCAGGATCACCATCCTGCACAGAACGGCCAGGGTGTGGCCGTAGCTAGCTCTTCTCGCTGTACTGTATCAGACAGGTTTGGGCGATCGAGGCAGGCATTCCAGCTTCAGAATGCGATCCGGATTGGTGTTCAGAAACACAACCCGATCGAATCCTGGTATTGAAAGACCGAGCCGTTTTTCTTTACGGCCAACGAGGACTTCCAGCCGTTGGCCTCGCAGGTTTCCAGTTCTCTGCTTTCAAACCCACCGCGAAAGACGACACCGAAGCCCCGTTTTTCACACCAGAACAGAAACGGATCTTCCTCTCAAAGCAGTCGCACCTGTTCTTTTTTTCCCAAGAGGGAAGTGTAGGAGCTCTGTCTAGGTGTCTGACGTGCCGCATCGAAGCGAACCGTCTGGTCTCCGAGTCGGTCCTCGGTTCCGTGCGGCGTTGTTCTCTACGCCCCCAGAAGCCTTTTTCAGAGCTTCTGACCATGCACTGAAGGTGGGTGTCAAAAGATGATGATTCCTGTGCTCTGGTAAACATCTTTTCCTTTACTTGCCGGACTTCTAAGGGTCAATTCCATAGGTGGCTACATGTGAAGAGGAAGACCATTGTAGACCCTGGCGCTTTGAGCACAGGTTGCTGAGGCCCGGCTGGCGAGCATGCCAGAGTGAGGCGGACACGGTTGGGCTGCGCCAAATGCTTTGGCCAACCCCTATCACCACCAAGAACAAGAACAGAGGAAAAAAGGACGAACAAAACATGAAAAAGACAATATCAACATGTAGGACAGAACAGACATGAAACGAAAGGTCTAAAGAAAAACCATTCTAAGGTCACATCGACGGTTTTCTCAAACGAAACGAATCTCCCAGGACATTGGATTCGTTTTGAGGATCCGAGCCGATCCTGGGGTTCCGGTAAGACATGGGCCCTACGAATCCGTAGCAGGGGTCTGGACATTCTCCCGACCTCTTGGCAAAGCCTGTATGTATTGCATCCCGGATTCGTAGCGGGGGGAAATACATTTCGTGAAATGTGTCGTGAATCGCAACATACTTCAACACGTTTCAACATGTGGTTGTATCGTCATGATGTTTTGTGCAACCGTTGGACACATCCATGACGGATTTCTTCGACACATCCAAGCTGATTGACGACACGACATTCTGTTTAAAGGCACAGCACACATTCACCCTAAGAATCCGGGCCCTCAAACAGATAGGGTTTTGAGGCCCCGGGACCCCTGCCATGGACAGCCCGCACGGATCCTTAATTAGGGTATTGCAAAAGGCTGAGAGACACGAGGAACTGGCAGTCCGACCGATCAGGTACCGATCAGGTGGTGGCTTAAGGGGGTTGGCAAGGCGTCCATTCCTTCGGACGGGGTTGGCAATGCTTCCTGAGGCTTTCAAATCTCTCAACCATGGCTGGACAAAGATGCAGGTATGATTCATGACAAAGTCATGGACGCATATTGCGTGCTCCCCATTTACTTCTTGTGTTTAACAAAAGAATGGAAGCTGGAACTCAGGTTCAATTATGTTAAATGTGTTGGAGGCCATCGCTAGTAGGTTGCAGGCCATCACTGAATCCCTCCGAACCGAACGTTGCACGCCTGTGTCGTCAGGCTCGGCATGTCTTGCCTGCCTCGGCCATGGCTGCAGGCTCCTCCCCCCTCCCCTCGGAACACGCGTTCGCCGAACCGGCGCCGGTTCACGGGACACGCACGACAGAGGAACAAGAGAAGTCACGACGGGACACGGTCTTCCCATCCAGTTTAGTGTTTCTGACATGACTGCAGCGCGAACAAGAGCAGTTTCATGTTGGGGCCAACGAGCAAGAGGAAGTGTTCTTTGAGTTTGTATTGAAGGACCACCAAATGTTTGTGACCACCGCCCAAACCACAGAGAGAAGCTTGTTGTAGTCTGGATTTTCTCGGGGTTCCTTGGCCTTCTATTCGACTCGTTGACTACTTGCCTTCGACGTTTTTGACTCTGGGCATCGAATGAAGCCATCGTTCATACCGACATACCGAGGAGTTCAGTGCCTGAAACGGAGGAAGTGATAGCAAAGTGCCTGCTGGCACAAGACATGTTGGGCACCCCAGCAAACAAACAAGGGTTTTGAATATACCTGGAACCTCAACTGTGCAACATGTCCACCGTTTCATCCAAAAATCCCGCCAAGGTTGGCATGAATTTTGCATATATCCCAGACACTCCATGAGACTGCCATATATGCCGATCAGTTGGGGTGGTTTTGGGGTGGTTTTGGTTTTGGCATCTATGGCAGTCCCATGGAGTGTCGTAGTTGGAAGATCCAAGTATAGAACACCATGAAGGAACGACCTAAGCCTTCATCATGCTTTTATCTTTAAGTCAGCTGGACTGATGGTGCTGTTTTTGTTTGGCCAACGCTCCGATTGACTGTCCTGACTTCCGTTTTTCCTTCTTGTTTTCTTGCTCGAACCGACCAGCCCTTGGTCCAAAAGCCTGGCGCACGACCCGCCAGGCTTAGCGTGCTTGGCTCTGTCTGTGAACCCACGACGTGTCACAGGCGAACGTCTTTTTTGGCGATGCGACCCTCCCAAAACACCACGCCGCCGGTCTATGTCACACGCCTCCCAAATCGTCGTTTGGTCCCAGGAAGTTCTGTAGCAAACTCAACCAAAGTGGGGTTTTGCAGATGGGTCGTTCTATTCCTGGGGAGTTGCATGTTCTGTACACTAGAAGTCCGAAGACTATATTTTGCACCATGCACTGCAATAAAGGAAATTCCATTTCGGGTGACCGAAAGACCATTGTTTAAATGGACATCCTCATCCTTAAGAAGCCAAGACCTGCCGTTCGCTTCACCGGCAAACACCTCCAGTGAACACGGTGCCTCTTCGATGGTCATTTGGGATTTGGGGGTTCAGATGCAATTCTTTTGAGAAAGAGAGGGATTCTCCTCTATGTGGGGGCGTAAGATGGGTAACCTATGAGGTCTTTAACTTGGAGTTCACCTGTGGGTGTGTGTACAGAACATTTGAGACAAACTCTGAGAGTTTCGGAACATTCTTTCTGGACCTCATGAACAGAGGAGTGCCTGAACATCGACGTTTCGCATGAACATGTTCCGTCCAAGTTCTTCCAACTGTGGCAGCTTCGATCCGCCTTTGAGCCGAGTTCAACGGGATCATGGGGCACGTGTCTTGGTGAGGTACGGGGCAAGTCCACATGAGCCAAGCCACAAGTTGCTTCCTTTCCCTCGTGGGGTCTACTTGCCATCTACCGATCGATCACGTCCGCGAGCTTCTCGCCTCCGCGCTCCCGAGATCTCGCGTGGCGCTTCCTCTGCGAGGCATGGCTGTGAGCCAAGATGAGCTCAAGAAGCAGGCGGAGAGAGCGATGTTCCGGGGGTTTTCAGTGGAAGGCCACGGATAGCTGAGTGGGGTCGGGGTCGGAGGCTCGGTGGCGGGGTTCCTGGCGAGCCTGGCTGGAGCTATATAAGGAATTCTCCAGTTCTCCAACCACTTATATATGGCGCTGAGTTGCTCTCCCAAGCCAAAGGCTTCCACTGGGAAGAGCAACTCATGAGTTTAGCTCGTGCTGAGCGTTCCCTGCGCGACTGAGCTGGCGATTGGGTGCCGAGACTTCATCGAGAGACTGATGCCGACTGCTCTGTGTTTTTGTTTCGCACTGATTTAATGACTTTTACAGATCAACCATTGTACTAAGGATTTACACTACGAACCCAGGTGCATGAAAAAAACGGTGTAAGCAGTGTTTTTGGTGTTTGGCAGTCAGCGGTAGTTCACTACCCTCTCCAAAAAACGAAGCTGCTGATGACGGAGCGTGGAGGGTAAATCGCTGTGTAAGACTGGGAGGACAGCATGATGCGACCCTTTAAGGCCCTTTGCCAGGAATTTAGAGGACCGACCAAGAAATGGCCTTTCAGACTCCATGATTTGACCTGCCTCTTAAAGCCTCTTCAAACGTACTGCAAACCGAAAGACCCTATGAAAGAGACCCCATCATCAGATGCCCCTGTAGAAGACACTGTCGTGGGGGGTCGTAGTGGGGGGCCGTACTCAGATGAGTTTCCCAAACAGCTCAAGTCGACTGGTTTAGAGGCGATGATTAATATATGAGGCTCACCTCCCTCGGCGTCTCTTTGGTCTTCGACAGCTAGCTTCTTCACTTCCAGGGATTTCACTGGCACTGGTCCTCCTTTTTGACTACCGATTTGGACGAGTTTGTGTAACGTTTCTTTGATTGACTTCGTGTTTGCGTGTTTGCGTCTTTTCGGTATTTTTTGTGATCATAGATCAACAACAGGAATTGACCATCCAAAAGCTTAGCCTAGAATCCTGGTTGATGGCAGCTAGCAGCCAGGACAGTTCAACTCGGCACCGCTTCGGACCCGGTCAACGTCCGGACCAAAACGTCCGGACCCAAAACGTCAGCGGTTCATTCAGGTGGGCTACAAAGCGGTGGACGACTATGTGAAAAGTGGCCGGGTGGGGGTGGAAGGAAGGTCCTGGAAGGTCGATGCTTCACCCCTTTCTCTACAGCTCTCTAAAACACTTCGCCCTGATGTGGGGCTTCCCAACGAGCGAGCCAACGGGGGCCGGGAACCAAAGCGTCCAGACACCACGCCCCCCTGAAACCAGCCGAGCGGCACTTAGGACCCGATGAGATGTGAAGGGAGTTTTCGCCCACCCAATCGCGTTTTGGTTGTGACCGATCTGCAGTGAGTCTTGGATCGATATGGTTCAAGGTTCCCAGCTGCAGAAGGGATTCGTCAACTTTCGATATCAAGCCGCTCATCTTGGTTCTCTGGTGCCCTCTTGCTTGGGCTTAAGTCTTTGGATAGAATGCCTGGATCTTCCAACTGTGCCACATTCTTACCGCTTGCCTTTTCATCTAAAGACCACAGCCAAGGTTGGCAGACAACGCAGCAGTTGGAAGATCGATCGATCCTGTTCAGCCCCTCTTCTTTTCTGGTTGATCACCAACCACTGCCGAACACCGACCTTCTCAACCCGGGGGGTTCCTGTGATCTCCGACCTTTCTCCTCGCGCCGATCGCCCGGATCGACTCCCCCCGGGCCCTGCCCCGCCCCTCGACTGATCGATTCCACGGTCACCAAGAGAGGTGAAGTGAAGGACCTAGGGTACCATACCTAAGAGAGGTGAAGTGAAGTGAAGGACCGGTAACCTGAGGAACCCAACCATATTCGATCTAGGGTTCTTCAGTCGGCAGGCATGGTCATTGGCTTGGGTACCGGCTCCACGGCGTGCGCCAGATGCGGTCGTCCCGCGTTCCCTGGAGTCCGAAGTCGGAGAAAGGTCGTAGATTGTTTTGGGTGAGGAACCACCTTTGGATAGAATACCTACTATATTACAATATATTTAACTGTGCCCACCATTTCTGCATGTTTCATCCATCCAAAACAGCCAAGGTAGGCAGACGTTCGATCTGCATGGTTGGAAGATCGAGTTGTTTCTGGAACGTTGACCGATTCCCAAGGTCTGGAAACTTCACATCTCGGCTTCAAGGGTTGTGAGCAAAACATGCAGAACAGGCATGAACATCGTTCACCATCCCTGACATTTCTTCATGGACAGTGGTGGCGAGAAAGGTGACGGCCACGGTTAGGAGATCCAATGACCATGAGATTCATGTCAGTGCCCTCCAACCACATTGATCCAAACTCCCGCAAAATGCCCTTGGCGACTTCCAATCCCAACCTGCCCCCGGTGAGATGGGCCTCCAAGGCAACCCTTTTCCAAGCCGCAGACCCCAAGCGGAAAACCCTCAAAACAGCCAAAGCCTAGTAGGTTGGAGGCCATCGCTAAATTAATTAGTCGCTCTTAGGGCGGAGGTAGGATGGAGGCCATCGCGTAGGTTGGAGGCCATCGCTTGGGCGAATCTCTCGCGGCAGGTGTAGACTTCTGAGTCGGCAGTATCCACCTGGGCCGAGATCGGCAGGTACTTTGCGGTGGAGCGTGTGGGAGAAAAGTCTGGGGCCCTCAGATGTCGATGGGAACTGCAAGCGATCCAGCTGTGTATTTGACATCTCCAATCATCTCCAATCATCTCCATATCTCCAGTCCTGGCGGGTTGTTTTAAGTCCAGCATCCAGCATCCAGATGGGTGTGTCGCTCAACTAGGAGACCAGCCTGGCAACGACCTAAAATCAGGTTCAGGAAGTCTAGACCAGTCTACCCAGCCAGGCAGCCAGGGTGCAAAAGGGGTTCCGGTCCGGTCTATACAAAAATACTCTGGAAGTCCAAGACCATTTAAAGGTACTGGTCTTTCGGTTGGCCCTTTGCAGGGACTTTCCTTTAGTTTCACTCACTGCAAAATATAGTCAGGAACGGGGTCACCCCAGTAGGTAACGTCATGCAACAAGAAACAGGAAAAGACGTCCCTGTCAACATGATTGAAATTCATATTGAAACTAATTTTTGGACAGGTGTCGGCAGACCACTTCACTGTATCCATTCGTTCGGGTCCTTTTGCCTCTCGCAGATGGAGAAAGGCGGTTTGGCCATGTTTGGCCTGTTATAGAGGAGACTAGGAAGTGAAGAAACCAAACTTGGAACTTCTCAGCTTCGTCGCAGAAAACCCGAGTTCTTTCAAACGTATGGAACAACACTGTATCTTCAGCGACTTGGGGTGTCTTTTCATCTTTGGCTTCTTTAGCTTCTCAGTGCCTCAACAGCTTTTATTTGTGGTTTTGTTGGACTGCCCTGCTGAGCCCGATCCACCTCAAATCCACCCAGCTTCACTCAATCTTTTCTAGAGTCGAGGGACCCAGTGGTGAACTCCGACTTCGAACCACGGTCCTCCACAGTCCACCACGGTCCACCGGACGTCCGGGTCGCTCGTGGTGATGACCACCGAGGCTCCGGTCCGGCGAGTTGAAGGACATCGTGGCGGCTCGGGGCACCGAGACAGCGGATGGACCGGGAGGAGCGGCGAGGCGCCCGGGGGGATGGGACGGCACGGCACGGCAAGGCGACGGAGTGAAGAAGAAGGTTTGGATGAGTTGAGAAGCAAAAACACGATCTTAGCTAACCCTGAAGTCCAGTCATGTTCTTTTTTTTTGTTCATCATGACTCTCCGGTGGGTAGAATGAGGCCAAACGGAAGTTCCGGGCAAGCCTTTTTTCAGGTCAACACCAGCGAATCCATCCATGAGCAGTTTTTGAGCCATCGGACTGGGAAGGTTCCAGGGCTCGAGCCTTCCATGAAAAAAAGACCCGGCCAGGCCGACCCACATGGAACCTCCGTTAATGGAACCCCTAGGGTTCCATGTTCATTTTCCACCCAGACGCTCCCAACAGCTTTTGGTCCCGAACCAAACCCTAGGGATTGGTGAGAAGGTCCGGACCCCTGACCGGACCACCGGGGTCCGGTCACGTCTGGGAGGGGCCACTTCAAACTCGGATCTGGCTTTCGACCTGAGGTTCCGACCTCCAAGCGGACCCAAGAACAAGCGGAGAAGCTAGGCACAGCTGGGCGCGCAAAAACGCGCAGCTGCGGAAGTGGGACACCTTTCAGAGGGAAAGACCTAACCCCTATAGGCCTATAGGCTTCCAAGCATCTTTTTTATTCAATAGGAGGATTTTACACTACAAAAGCCAGGTCGTTCCCATGTTTTTCACGGTCGAGTGGAAGCCTAGGGTATCACTGTGAGTGGATCCAGGCATTCGGGGATGACTCACGTTCGGTACGTCATCAGTGGTTTTCAAGACGTCCACTGGTTCGACCATGAGCTTGAGCGACTTCGGTCACTGACTCGGTGGACTTAGTTGAGGTGGAACTGCACATGTCGAGGTTGAGGTCACCTTCTCCTTCCTTAAGAATCCACGCCCTCAAGATGGAAAGGGTCCAAGGATTCTTATAGGGTTCTCTTCTTCTCTTAGGGCAAATTCTCCTTCTCTTGCAGTGTTTCGCACCCCATTGTTCTTCCCCCCACAATCTAGGGAAATCGGATTGCCAGGGGTTAGGGTGGTTTCTCTTTCCTGTTGGGATGTTTTTCCCTTCAGAAACTCCCGCAGCCCATGACAAGTGGTTCATCGGCGTTGGCCCGAAAAGTCTTGGACTTGGCGCCAGCGCATGGGGGAGTCCAGGGAGTCATGCTCCACATGGAGGGTTACTCTCGGAAAAGACTGCGAAGAAAATATTGTGTCCTCCACAGAAAAAGGAGGCCACAACTGCAGGCCTCACCACTGCTCCCAAGAACTCTTAAGCAACTTTATAGGAACATCTTGAAACTTATCTTTCCATGGTGCCATTTTTCCCATGGAAACAGTGGAAAAGCACTGGCTGAAATCTGGAGTTGATCCCTAGACTTCCAAAGACTCTTCTTAGCACCGCCGAAGTAAAGGACAGTTCTAGACTCAGGTCATCTATATATTCCAAAAACATCTTAAACTAGTATGAAGCCCATGGACCATAGGGTATTTAGCAAGCTCATCAGCACGAGCTTGCACACCGGATCTGCCAGGTATCAAGCTGGCCACGCTGGATACACAGCCCAAACTGGATGTCCGGGACTCCCGACCACATGTCTCGCGGTGTCTTTTTGGGTCTTCCGGGGTGATGGACAGTTTGGGGTGGATCAAGAAAAACCCATGGCTGTGGGTGGGTTCAGTGGACCTGAGGTCCTTTGTTCTCCAAGAGACGGTGAACACAGTCAGTTTGCCACCGACTTCCCTGTCGACTCCATATCCTTGTTGAGATAATGAGATGTTGCAGACCCAGACAGCCTCATGTTAAAAAGAATCATTGTCCGAAAAAGTTCCGCTCAGGCTTTCTGCTTCCTTCCTAGGCTTTCTTGCGTTGTGGCCAAGCCATGTCTCGTTTTCACTTCCATGTCCTGCCGCTCGTTCTCGGCGCGTCGCTGTGCTCCTGTGCTGCTCCTGTGCTCGTCTGTGCTTCGCGGATTTGGAAGGATCCAAGCGTGGTGGCTCGTGGGTCTCGTTGCGCGAAGGGCCGATGGCATCCGATGGCCGTGGATGAATTCAGCTGGCGGGCTCGGCCCTCTGACAGCATATCGGCAAAACAGGGTTTCGATTTTCTTCCGGTCTGGACAGCAAATCCATGCAAATCCGTCTGGATGTCTTCGGACGTTACGAGTTCCAGGGCTCCTGGCCACTAGCAAGGTTCGCACCCAAACGGAGGAAGGTTCGCACCCAAACGGACACGGAGCGGTCGGAGCGGTCGTTCGCTGCAGGTGGCCATTGATGGTGCTGATTCCGTCGACTCTTCCTTGAACCTGGTGTGCCTCGGCGGAAGCAGACCGGGAACCAGAAACCGAGCTCGGGGGCATGGCGCGTCTTGCGCAGGAGTAAAGGACGCACGCTCTGCGACGAGTGGAGGCCATCGCGTTTGTAGGAGGCCATCGCTACTAGTAGCAAGAAGCTCCGAATGTAATTATATATGGTCAACGCTACTAGGAGCAAGAAGCTACGAACCGGGGCTCCTGGCCTTACTACGAACGGAGCGCTCGGACGCTACCTTCACCGGGGCTCACCTGGCATCGCGAAGCGAACCGGACGTCACCAGAAGCTGCGGTCACAGCGGGTTCACGACTCCGGAGTCGTCTGTTCTTCAGAGTCCACCAAGGGTCGGATGAGCCACGAAAACCAGATGGATTACACTCCCTGGAACTAACATGAACTAACAATGGTTACGTGGATGGCATAAGACTCTACAAACATCTACAAACAGTAAACAGGGCGCAGGCACCACTTCCGTGTTAGTTCCAGGCAGAGTAGATGGACGGATCAAGATCTTTCAAGGCCCTAGACTTCCAAGCCTATATTTAAAAAATTGTTGTTGTTTTTTTTTTTTTTTTTTTTTTAAGTTGGTTCGGGATTCAGCCTATTAGTTTAATAGTGGTTGGAAGTCTAGGGAAGGTATTCTTTTAAAATGGTGTTCTTCAGACTCTATGGGGCACTCTCGTAGAAAGAATCGCTGGAACGCTTGCATGTTTCGCCTGTTCCAGGCGGAGCCTTCTTTTTTGCCCCTGATACTGTTAAATTCACTTGATACTGTTTTTTTTGCCCCCAGAAACACTGGAACCTGCAACCTTCATGTTGTTTTGCTGTGTTTTCCCTGGGAGTCCAAGACTATTCTAAACATTGTCTTTAAAGGACTTTCATTTGCTTCGCTGGTGCCCAAAGGCCCTCTTCGGACGTTTTCGGGACTTTTGCATGCATCACATGAGTCCCAGTTTGAATTTTACCCTAGCTGCGGATGCTCACAATGGGCAGATGTGTGAGGGCACTGGAGAGAACACTCTTGCAGAGACCGTGTGAACAAGCTCGAGCTGCGACGAGTGGAGCCCTCTAAATTCCACTTGATGGAGCATCCGCAGCGTTGGGACCAGCTCCCTGCAACGTTTTGGAATGCTAATTAAGATTGCCCCCTCTGTGACAGAAGAACGACGTCAACCATCTTGGTTACTGTAGATGAGTCTTCCAGGTAGTTGCCCCAAGGATCCTTGGACGGTCCAGAGCAGGGGTCGGACCCTGAAAACCCTTGCCATGTGACGGTGTGGATTCTTGGGTAAGAGAAGTTGGTTCGTCGTAACCTTCGCAGTGAGAGGACCAACCTAAGACTAAACATTGCTCAGTTTGCAATGAGTGTGTTGCGCATCTCAGCCATTCGCATGTCTTTGGGCGATGGTCCGGCCTTCATTGGTCAGGAAGATGAGCAGTGTCGGACTGAATCTTCACCTCTACGACTTGGACGGCCCAACCCCCAACCCCCTTTCGGAGTGGAGTCCAGCTGTAGTGACATCCGGACCCCACGACCGGCGCACGACCTGACCTGGAACGACCGCACCCCAACCTACCTCGGTGATGGTGTCGGCCCCGCCCCTCCCGCCCGCCCCCCGTCCTGAAGTGCGCGTCGACGGGCGGTCGGTCCAGGAAGGGCGGAGGTGGTGCTCACTTCCGCGAGAAGATCGTCGAGGCGCGGTGCGGGGCGAAAGAGGTGGAAGGCTGGGTGGAAGGCTGGGTGCGAGGCAGAGGGATGGTGCATGGAAAACCCCGTGCGACGGGGGTTGGGTTTTCGGAGACGTCCTTGGAGAACATGTCCTGTAGCAGGGCTGTTTCTTTGGAAGAACCTGGACATCAATGCAGTTGTTATCGAAACGGTGTGTTTTTTTAGCCTAGCGAGCAGGATTGCGTTGGCAATAGGGGCAGTTTGGAGAAAGAGGTCACACCAAGGACGGTTGGGTAACGGAAAATATTTATCGCTTGGACATGGCAAGGGCTTACCTTTCCCAAAAGAAAGATGGACATCAAAATCCCACGAGCCTCCTGACGATGATGAGTGATCCAAGACATACACTTTGGGACACTATACGACCTCAAGCCATGCGTATGAAATCAGATGGCACTGCGACAAAGGCTCAAGGCGACAAGAATCAGATGGCCAAAAAGCAAAACACATGCTGCCAAGATGTTGCAGGAAGACGGCGCACAGACACACAGCACTTGCTGTTGAGCAAAAAGGCTGCACAGATGTGCCTGTTGCAAACAGCCAAACATGACCCTTATGTCGTGGATCACTCATGTCGTAGGTCACATGGTGATATAGCCTGGGATTCCCAGGGTCCCATTTGTTTCAATATGTTTCAATGGTCTTTACCAAAGGTTCTCAGGATTTTGGGACTATACAAAACCAGGTGAACCATCATTCTTGAACTGCTAGAAGCCGCCATCCTTCTTCCCAGACGCGCCTTGGGACCGACGTTTGGACCGACGTTGGGTGGACCCGGACCAAACCCTTTCCATTTGGTTCATGTCGATCGCGGCAAACACCGAAGTTCGTTCAAGAAAAGACCAGCCTGGCGCAGCACCTCCGCCTCCGGACCCAGCCTGTCAAGCGCACCCCAAATTGCATGCCAAAGAGCATTCTCCATGGGGCCATGTTGCTCGTCCTCGGTGGATGTGGAGGATGCCGCCTGGCCGTGCTTGCTTCCGAGTGAGATCGAAGCCACTTTGCCCGATGGAGGCATGCACAAGATCTGGTTGGCTTCGGCGTCTTATTGCTACTGTCTACTGATCTCAGGCACGACCAGGATGGGGCGAACGCGAACTCCCCAAGGCTGTGGATGAGAGTTCATCCACTGAACCCTGGTGGGTTCCGACCAGTTCCTGCTGGCTCAGGTCGAAACGTTGGAATCAAGTGAAGACTACCTATAAGATCCTATAAGGCAAGGGCAGTTGATAGAGCAAAGAACCAATGAGAGCAGGCAGTTTTCTTCAAAACCACTACTGTTTTGGAGACAAAAACATGTTTTGGGACCTTTTTCTCGGTTGGTTGAACCACAGAACCACTTCGAAGGATTTCGAAGGGACCAAACACCGCAAAGAGACGACTTACATATATTGTGTCCCTTTTCATGCCAGCGAGGTCAGAGGAGGGCTTTGGGTCGTGTCATCCCGTTTGTCTTGCAGAGACATGATGAGAGTCCTCTCTTTGACTCGAGGCATTTGGACATTTGCTTCTGAACTTCCGTTTTGACTGGACTACCCATTAGCCGGTAATTCGGGAATTGGTCATGAGTCATGATTCACCACTTGCTCGGGGGGGAAGTCATGACTGGACTTTGAGAGGAAGATCTTCAACTTGGAACAAACATCCCAGCCCTGATCCGGAGCCACTGGCAATGCCATGATTTGGAAGACCAGAGGTGACCTGTAGATGCCCCCTGCCCACCCCCTCCTGATGTGTGTGGGGAACGCATCCTTCCAACAGGTCTCCTTTGGAGGGTTCTTAGGCCCTAACAGGTTTCAATTGGTGACCTGTTGGAGGTGCTGGTACCAGGTGAATCACGCAAAGAAGGACTTGGTAAAAGCTCAACAAAACCGGGGTCTCAACCTAGCAGGGATCCCAAGCTGCAATTCGTCCACCTTCAGCCGGTGTCGAACGAAGACCGTGGGTCAACTCCTTCTTTCCATCAGCCTGGTACCAGCCATCAAAAAGACTCTGGTCCCTGAGGTCCCTGGCCTGGTCGTGTCCGAATGTCCTTGGGAAGCTCTTCCGATCCGAAATCAGTCCAGGTGCAGCCACCTTTGTGGATGTGCGAGGAAGAGAGGCCTTCCACCAAGGAGCATCACCGGGCCTGATCAGCGTGTTGTGTGGGGGTTGGAGGGTCCAGAGTCCAGTCGTACCGAACCTGAATCCGGCTTGTCAAGCAGTTACTCTCTACGGCTGTCACCAGTCACCTGCAGAAACCTATACCTATCGTCTCAGGGAGCTGACCGTGCCAGGCCATTTGTTTGGCTCCTGGTCCTTGCATTCCCTTCTCCACCGCGACGGGAACGCCGCCACGTCCACGTCCACGTCCACCGCGACCGGCTTGAAGTCTTTGTGCGACCTCCGGCGCGTGGTCATCGTCGCTGAGGGCGAGCCGTTGAAGGCGGGAACGGCGGCCGTTGGGGCGCGCGGCCGTTTGAGCCGGCGTTGGGGTGAGCTGCTTTGGGATCCGTTGGGGGAAGCAGTGGCCTGTTTTGAAAAGGGGTGTCTTGCAGGGTGAAGGTGAGTATGATGAAGTATTTAAAGGTATCGATTCGAAAAGGGTTCCCTCCTGTTGGGGTTTGTTTGGTCTTCTTGTTGGGGTTTGTTGCAGTTTCCAGCGTACAGGACTTGCTACCCCCAGTATTCCTGTGCACCTCCCCACCTTGAAACTTGGAGGATGCCTCTGCCCTGAAGCTTCTGGGGCTGCTACGGCAGTTCGCTCGTCCTTCACAGCTGCCCGGCTGACCGCCCTCCACTTGCGCGTGCGCGGTTTTGGTCCTCCGGGGCGAAGAAGACGTCCAGCATGAGGCATCCACATGGCGCTCAAGAATGGGGTAATGTAGACTCTTGATTCATGACACCCCCCATTTAGATGGACCTCTTCATATGGGGTGTTGATTAATCAAGAGTCTACATTACATTCCAACCCACTTGCAAATGGCAAGTAGTCTACACTACTTATAGATTCCTGGATCTTTCTTTTTTTGAGCCATACCCACTACCCACATGTTGGCCACAGACTCCGGACATTGCAACACCTGTGGAGAAACCGCCCCCAAACGCGCGTCCCTCGTGGAGCGTGGAGACGGGTGCTTTGCGTCGGTAAGGCATCTGAAAAAGGGACTATCTGCCTCCGGCTCTCTCTACCTCTCTCACTCAGAAACAGTTCTGGATGTTTGGACCAGTCAGATGCTATGTGGGCAGGATCCCAAGCAAGCCATGTGTTGTTTCAACGACTTGTTTCTGGTTGTTTGGGTTTTGCAGGTTGCTCTTTCTCTCTTTCTCTTTCTATTATGGCTCGCATCCATTTGAGGGTGTTGGAAGCTACCTGAGAAAACCCGCCCTGCAGCATGCACGTGCGCAGTTTCTGAACAGCCTGAGGCATGTTTTTGTTACATCCTAGCTTAAGGTGGCTTTTCCGTCCGCCACTGGCGCCCGCCACACTGTGGCGCCTAACCTGTTCAGGTTGCTTCTACTGGATGACCTCAGTCGCTTTCAGCAGCGCTTCCCCTTCTGCTTGCGCCAGGGCAGTGATTCTTCACCGCTGCCGCCCTGCCCAACCGAACTCCTCGAGCCGGGCTGCGCCGCGCGGAGCGGGAGCGGCGCTGTCCGGGTGCCGGCCTTGTACGTGGGGCCGACGGCATGTTTGGAGCCGAAGCTTCCGAAGCATTGGAAGCGCGCGTGTTCCACTGAAAAAGCCCAAGTGCTAAGGGTGTGATTCTCTCAAAGTAGGCTGGGCCCCGTTTTGGTGCTTCATGATGGGTCTTTTTGGTGACCGGAAAAGGAACTTCCGTTATTTTACTGCCAAAGTATCGTCGGACTTCGGTAGATGGATGTACATGGATACCAGAGACGACGTGTGTTCGACTCTTACCACCACCTTCGACGAAAAGGTCCGCGAATTCGGATCTGTGTTCTTTTCTGGCCGGGAGACATTTCATGTCCTTATGGAACCGAATCAACTGCTATAGGTCAATTATGGCGAATTTTAGGTACAAACGCCCAGGTGTGAGGATCAACACTCGGACCGACGAGTGCCTGAGTGGGTCTGAGTGTTCTTTGCCAAACCGGATTTCACGCCTGCCACATTCTCCCGAGAATTTGGTAGCATCGGGTGGTTGAAGCATCGGGTGGTCGAAGCTCTGTAGGCGAAGTTGGTTCTTTCTAGTTCCTCCATTCAATCGATTCCAGGAACTTGAATGACGTTCTGAGATCCTTCGAGATTGGTGCCATTTTCCAACTCGTAGAGGAGGATGAAGCCTGCTGCTTGGACTGAGCTCTTATTCTTCATGGTGGTAGCCAGATCATCACTGTTTCACTCATTTTTACTGTAGTGACTCTAGTGCAGGCGCAAACTTGGAGGCTGTCTGTGACAAAGAGCGTGATGAAGGTGCTACCAGATCAGATCTTTTCAAAGACTTCCAACTCTGCCGATCCACCAGACTAGAATGTCCTTCGACTCGGATCTTCGCCTCCTCTTCGCCATGGTTCTCAGGTGAGGCGCGCCATCTTCGGGCGCCCAAAGGGATGAAGCTTCATACCTTCGCCATGGCCAACAGCGGCGACGAAGCCGAGGACGAGGACGCCATGACGCCACAGGTGGCCAAAGTTGCTACGGCGTCCTTGGAGGCGGGTTTAGGGAGAAGGTGCAGGGAGAAGGTGGGGAAGAAGCTCATTTTGGAGGCAATCGCTACTAGGGTGGATTGGGAGGCCATTGCTAGTAGGTTGGAGGCCATTGCTAGTAATCTCATTTTGAGGTGAGAGTTGGGGCAGAAGCATCCATCATGTAGACTCTGGATTGATTGCATTTCCAGCTCCCATACAGGAAGAGGTTCTACAATCCATGGGCTCGGGGGGGATTTTATGCATCAAGAGTACCTTCCAAGTCTGGTGGTTTTTGGACACCCTGGCAACCTCTAAGAGGCGATCGATCTCCTTAGACACCCCGACAGGAGGGTCCTTGAACTTGTATCTTCCAAAAGACTGATCCCTAACTTGGGTACTCGTCCCAAAAGACTAGTCCCGATGTCACAGAGGTGGGAGCTGGGTTGCTAACTGGTGTGCCAACATGGTTATCACCGGACCCATCTGAGTCACCTTCTTCGTTTCACTTGGTAATCTTCCTCCAGCATCGACGGCTATGGGCCTTCCCAGTTCGGGACGACCGAGGGGGACCTGGGGGGACCGGGTCGCGGTCGGTCGGTTCCGATCGAGGCGGCGGAGCGGATCGTGGCGCAGAAGGTGCCATGCTTCGTGTGCGGCCCTTGGAGTGCGCTCGTGGCGGCGTTCGTGGTGAAGAAGATGCTCAGTTCTTCCAGCGAGATCAGGAGTGACGGTGTGGGGCACCACTCAGCAGGTGGGCTGTGGTGGCTTGATTGGTGGCTTAGGCTGGTGTGTGGTGAAAAGGAAAGGAGACATGACTCAGACATGACTCATACGGCACAGTCCCGCTAAGAATCATGACTCGTGCTTCAGTTCGTGACCATCCTTGAGATGCCAGGATGTCACAGGTCGAATAGGCATGAATAGGCCAGCAAAATGTTAAACGGTCACAAACAGAGACTCCGGAGAGGTCACTTGAATGTCGGTATTTGCTCCTCCGCAGGTTATCCCAAGCAGGTTTGGGGTGTTTTCGTCTCCGTCGCCTGCCTGGTGATACATCGGTAATACTGGTTTGGTGCGTTCCAAACGGTCCTGGTGGGTGAATCCTCCAAGACAGAGCGGTTTTTGGGCGCCGAATTGGACGCCGCCGCAGGCGGGTTCTCGCGCGCCGAATCCGTCACCGAAATGTCAGGAGCAACGAGGAGCTGTGCATCTTCTTGAAGGTTTCTCGGCGTTCGTCACTTCTCCACCCGAGGGTTTGGGGTTTACCATGTTTACCGCCATTTTACCACCCATTTCTGTCAAAGCACAATGGACATCGCCATTTACCAGCGGAAGGAATTGATGTTCACGTCGTGTGACGGTGGTGTACGGTGCTTCTGGCGTTGGTTTACGGAGTGGAACTGGCGTGGCTGGTGGATCTTTTCGGGTCACCGAGGGAGGCTCAGGGAGGCTGGACACCCTGTGGCTTCCCTTCATGTTGTGATCTGGTGCACCAACTCACAAGCTGAAAGCCTAACTCTGGCCCTTTCGTTTCCTTGACACTACCGCCCTTGACGACTGGTCAGGACCGTTCTCCATCTCTCCGCCTCACTCGCTTCGCGCAGAGCGCGCTCAACTGGGCGCTGCCGGAGGAGCATCCCGGGTCCAGTGGACTGGGACCCGCGCCGGTGTCCGCGCCGGCGGGCGCACGTGCACGGCAGCTGCGAGGGAAGTTGCGAAGGAGACTGAAGGAGGAGGAGGCGGAAGTGGTTTTGCGCACAGCCACTTGGCAGGGAGGTGTCTTTTCGGTTCATGGGGTCAATTTTGGCCCAAAGAACCATTGATTCTCAGGTGGTTTAGGCATGTTTAGGCCATAAACATAAACGGTACTCTTGGGACGTTTGGAGAATTCCACAGCTGGTTGGTGGTGCATCGTGCTGCTGGAGTGGTGGCTTCTGTCTGGCTTCTCCCGAGGTCAAGGTGGTGCTGGAGAAGGTCTTGACTGCGCCTTCTGAGGAGCGCTTCCGACGCCTGAAATCGAGCCGCCTGGCGTTTTGGTGGGCTTTTTGGGATACTTCGGGCCAGGTGGTGCAGGCAGACCGCGTAGAACTAACTGGTAGTCTCTTGGTCTTGATGGAGTTGGGACGACTTGGGTGTGGAGCTCATGGCCACGCCGAAGGGAAATCGAGCCAAACTGGGGGTCTCCCTATGAACGTACGAACCCAGTTGGTGCAAGAAAAGACACTGGCGCCGTCCGTGGATTGTCGAACCAACCATCCTGGACCGTCTGTGGTGAGAAAAAAACACTGATCGAGACTCCATGGGCCAACGTGGATGGAAGATTGGAGGATCATGAAATCCGAATACCAAGCCGGTGGTGAACTCCACTAGATGAATTCTGGGAGGTGTAGAAGTTCCCTCTATTCAACCCACAAACATGTTCGCTGCATTTGATCGTTTTGAAGAGGTGCCAGACCAATTTCTTTCGGACCTCTGACAGTCCAAAAAAATGGAAAGCTTCCAGATCAGTTGATGCCTTCCAAATGTTGGGGCCCATGAACTGCTCACGACCATTTTCCAAGACATCCGGTTTGATGGCGCACCGTGTCGAGCCCCCGTTGAATTACGGCCGCCTCTTGTGGTTCCTCCGCTGGAGCCGCCGGTTCGTTCCTCGCGCCGAGGCAACCCGCGCGTGTGCCGCGAGCTGTTGGGCTCTCCTGAGGCCCTGCAGCTGCTGAAGCTGGCCGGCTTTGGATCGGACGAGGTGTCGGGTGATTTGGTCTTGGCAAGCGCAGTGCCTTTGGGACCTCTACAAGAGGTGGGGATGGTGGGAACCAGGACGGACGACGGAGGATGGTTTTTTTTCACACCCGGAAGGCACGAATTGGGGTTTGGTTGGAATTTGGGGGGAGGTCTCGAAAAAGAGCCCACGATGGCCTCCACTCTTGGTAGCGAGGGCCTCAGCATCATGCAGCAATCACTTTCGTCAGACGTCCCGACTCCCGGACTTCCAGGTGTTGCAAGCCTTGCGCGCGGGCGACTGAACCACGGTCGCCGCGACGGAACCGCGACGGTTCCCCCGGAAAAGGGAGTGCCGGTCTTCACGCTCTCAAGTGCCTATCTTAGTAGCCCGGAACTTCCGTTCACTGACTCATGAACTACCCCAGCTGGTATTGATCATCCACCACTACCAAGCGGGTAAAGTGAGTCAGGGCTGGACTCTCCGGGTAGGTGTTCATAAGATGTTCAACTGAACCTTCCTGAACATAGACCTTTGATGATATTTCAACTCCCCCAAATATTGAAGAGAGTGTTCAATCCATGTTTGGGGGCGGTTGATTCATCAAGAGTCTACGTTTGCGTCCTACCATGTACAATCCTGAAATGCTCACCAACGACCTTCATGTTCGCTTGCTGCGCAGCGCTTGAGTTCTTTGGCCAAACTGGATCATACTGGTGCTTGTGCCTTCGGAACCACACACCTGGGTCTCCGTCGGTTGCGCCTCGTTTTTGCCTCAGTTTCGGGGGTTTTGAGCCTCGCTATGGGTGGACGGGCCTTCTTTTGTGGTGCAATGGGAAGTCTCAAGCATTGACCCTCTCAACAATCATGCAAGTGGACCATAGTCCTTCAGAAGATCATTTTCCTGTACAAAGGAGGGTGGCTCATTGAATGGTTTCACAAGCTTGTTATGATCTGGAGGGATTCCGGAAGATTTTGCCAGGGAACTTGTGCATCTCCTTTTGCCAGGCCGCGGCCAAGACCTTTGTCGTCATCGTGGACGAGTCCAAGTTGTGTGATAGCTGGGACCTGAGCAGATCTGATGTGAGAAGCCTTTTGTTGGGACTCAGGACCAAACTCCAGACGGGTTCAGTTGACTCCTACCTCCTGGTGCCTTAGATAGTAAATCTCGCCTGATCCTGAGCAACTTGCGTCGTTGTAATTTCATGGGGCAAATGAGTGTCGGGCCTTGTCGGGCCTAATTTCATGGCCCATTCTTCCACTGGCAAACGCCGAGCTTCATACTTCAGGATGCAACCAAACCCCCTCCTCCCTTCAACTTCCACTCTCGACCTCTCTTCCCACTTTTTTCCCTCACCCTCCCAGTTCCCTTTGGCTTCGGCACCGTGCCTGTGGAGGTTTGGGGCCTCATTTCCCGGTGCCTGTGGAGGTGGTGCCCTTTTGCCACGAGCACACCGCCAGGCGAGGCCTGGCCGACGGCCCTTGCTTCAATAGGGGAATGTAGGAACTCTGGTATACCAGCACCCGACTCTACAGGTTTTTGCAAAATGGAGGGTTGTTGGGCCCTGTTGGAGGTCTCAATTGCTGACCTGGTGCTGGTCGGGTGTTGGTAGAAGGCTCCGCAAAAGGAACAGCTCCCTCATTTGGGATCACTAGTCCTTTCTCCACCGAGTTGACAGCCTGGCAGCCGACAGTGCCGAGTCCGCGCCGAGTCCGCGCCGATGGGCGTCCAGGGTGATCAAGGCGCTGCCAGCGCTGGAAGGCTGTGAGCCCGTCCTCCGCCTGGGTCGCCGGCTCAGCGCAGAGAGACGGACTGCGCGAGCGTAGGCAGTTGGGTTTTTTGAGGCAGTTGGACGAAATAGATTGGGACAGCTACATGATACATCATGATGTGCAATTCCATGAGGAATTGTGCAGTTCCATGTTGTTTTGGAGTTCTTTTTCTTAGCGGATCTTCCAACTCTGCAATATTTAAGAAGGGCCATCACTTGTCGCCCCCATGTCAAGACGTCTAGACGGACATCCAGCAAGTTGGTACAAACCACTTCAACACACACATATATATATATATTTAAAATGAACATTGTACAACACCCATTACGCTGGATGTTATAGACACATTCTTTTTCTCCAAAATGTCGTTCACATTTCATAAATTCTGGCGCAAACACATCATACCGTACAATTTTCGTTAAAAATAAACTTGTCATACCACTTTTCAGGATTTTTCATTTCACATTATGTTCTTTTTTTCAACAAACATATGAACAAATAACACATATGAACACGTTATCAACACTTTATGAAACATGGTGTTGACAAATATATGTTTTGTTCGCAGGGCTATGATCTATTTTTTGGTGATTTCATAAATTTGGTTGTGTTGGTTTTCATAAGCAAAACGTAATGAGCGCATTAAACAAAGTTCCAATGATTTGGCCTCATACCAGACTTGTTAGGTCTCAAGTCTAGACATTCCAAGGTGAGATGAACAGCTGCTGCGTGTGTGAGAGATACCGTACCAAATTTTCGGGTGGCTCCCCCCCCCTCCACGAGATTTTCCTGTACCGATCCTGTTCTTCATTCCCTGAGCCTCCTGCAGAGGACCTCAGAGGACAGCAGCTCTCCCATCTATGAGGGTCCTCCCTGTCAAAAGAGCAGTATATGTATGTTGTGATGCAAAAGGGCGTAGAGTGAGGTGAATAGTATGGCATACTACCTAGAGGAGGAGTTTTTTGTGTTTTGTTTTATCCCCTCTTATATGGGGTCTGCTAGATTGAACATATTCTTGTTCCAGGTTAGTGCATTGGGGCTTGTTCTCTTATATCTATATTTTGTCGTGACCCCAACTTTCACACATCATTACATCGTGCGTTGAACGTCAAGTCTGGGAGGGATGCCGAATGGATGCCCCTTCGTCCAGATGATCCTTTCGTCCAATTGCCTCTTCGGTGCCATCCCCATGGTCTTTGAAAGGGGATGGAAAGTGTATGTTTCTCTATGACATGGGGAGGCTTAACCCCGATATGAAACGTTTGATGCCCCCTTCATCCAGCCTACTGGATCTTCCAACGGCGCCAAACACCAGCGTAGGGACGGCTCCCAGGGGTGGATTCGGGGTGTCGCAAAAGCACCTGTGAAGTCAGGTCGTAGTTGCGCAAGAATCCGAACGAACTCTCCCATAGGGGTCCGGACCCGAACCAAACCTTTCCCCATTTGAGGGCACAGAGGTTCTTAGGGCAGCCCCCCCAAAGATCACCCCAAAGATTTCCCATTTCGATCGCAGCAAGCACCGAAGTTAGAGCACCGAAGTGTGTGTTGGTTGGGGTTTGGATTCCTAGCCCCAGGGCATCCAGGCAAACCACTGCTCTCGCTGGGAGTCCCAGTGGTTCCAGTTTGAGTAAAACCAAAGACCGGTTCCGAAGGGCCCCTGGTTCCTTACTACTCGTGGTTTGCCTGGGATGCACTGGGTAGGGCTGGAAGATCCAGGTCTTCCGGTTCCGCGTCGTCTCGCGGCGGTGGTTTCCCCGGCGGAAGCGAGGTTCCGCCGCGAACAACAAGCGCGACGGCGACCAGCCGGCGGTCACCGACAACGGCCGGTCACGGGAGAGGGGAGAGGAACGGTGTTGATAGATCTTAGATCAATAAGTTTACTTAAACTTACAGTTCATTTTTTTAAGTTTAATTGTCATACAGTTAATTGTCATGCAGTTCCTTTTTTTAAGTTTAATCTTATGATATCTTATGATATACCACCATCCGATGGGTGTCCTGGCTGGGCGCCGTTTCCAAAATTTTGGCATCGAGAGTTAGCAGCTCTTGGACCCGGGTGGCCGAGACCCAAAGTTAGAATGTGGCTTTAGAACATTCCTTCAATCCTTTAATGTTCCCTTCACCTTGCATTCATTTTTCTGGTCCTCATGTGTTGCTGAACCATGGAGAGACGCATTCCAAAAGGTTTTCTGCACATTCTAACACTGACTGTTAGAATGTAGGGTTTGCCGGTCCGGAAAGTGGGGTCATTCGGTATATATACATATATATACCCTACAAATCCCAGTACGAAGTTTAACTTCGCCTTTGCCCAATCACGCAGTCAAACTTTGCATTAGCGGAATGCTAAGTTTACTTTCATGATCACGCTCAATCACGCCACGATAGAAATTCACCAACATATGGTTTCACCCCAATCCATCCACAAGTTCACGCCACTGATGTGGTGCATGTTTTGTCATATCAACCTCTAGAACATAAGTGTTCATGTGTGGACTTCCGAGCCACTGCCGATCACGGCCGATCACGCTCTCGAACTCGAACCTACAGGACACATTGAACATCTCCAAGTAAACTTCGCATTAGCGGAGTGCTAAGTTAAACTACGCAGTTGAATCCTAGGGTAATATATATATAGAGAGAGAGAGTGCGGAGGAGGAGCTTGAAAAAGTCTTGCAGGCTGTGAGAGCGGTTGCTGCACGCAATTCGGTTTGTTGGACGAGTGGTAAAAAGCATTGTAGTTCTTCTTCCGGGGAAGACACCCGGATGTTCCAGAACTTTGACGATGCACACATGTTGCAGGAAACTACATCCTGGACTTGCACTTTAAAAAGTCCATCAAGGAGAGGTCCGCGTCGCCTCGCTGGTTAGACTTCCCCAGGAGACAGGAATGTTGTCACGACCCGGTCCAGGGTCGTCCTTTGGTTTCCCTTGGCCGACGAAACATCTTTCTTCATCGCTCTTAGGTTGGGGGCCATCGCTCTTAGCTTGGAGGTCATAGCTGCAGCTACTAGGGTGGAGACCATCACTACTAGAGTGGAGGCCATCGCTACTGGAGGCCATTCATTGCTAGTAGGTTGGAGACCATCACTAGTAGGTTTCAGGCCATCGTAGTAGGTTTCAGGAGGGGTGGAGGCCATTCTTCCGGCTGTCCACCGCAGCTTCCGACCACTGCAGGATCCCCAGAGCGCCGCGAAGCAGCTGCGCGGAGACCCAGGGTATGGGTATGGGTATGGGCGGGTATGGGCGGGTGGAAGCCCTAGGGCTCCAACCGGATCCTCAGAAAGTGGTTAGACACTGGCACCCACCCTAAGCATCTTTGATACGGAGGTAGGCCAGGACCCCGACTGCAAGGTTCAGTGTTTAGCAGGTCGCCTGCTGCGCGTTTCTTCACGGACTTCGAGCCGAAGGAACATGGAAGCACACGGGCCACAGACCTTCAACGCCTTGAAGCTCACCGGGTGAAAAGCCAAGCCTGGCCACAGAACCAGAGTGATCTGTGGAGGATGAGTTCGAGAAAGCAAATGTCAACGCCTTTTTTGGAACACTAGTAGGTATACACACTTTCAGGTGGTATGTTTGCTAAGAAGTCCAGCTCGACTTTTTGTGCTCCATTGAAGTAAAGCGAGTAAAGGAAGTACCTTTTGGGGTCTAAGCAAAGACCATTCTAAAGGAGTCTTGGATAGTCTTGGACTTCCAGCGTGATTCCACCCCACTCCACTCCTCTACATCAGTGTGATCAGAGTAGATGGCACATGGCATCCAAGTGAGCCACTGCTTGGCTCGACCAAGTCATCTCTTTCATCCACGTGCCGGACCCCTGCCAAGAGGTCGGCTCCGACCCTTGCCATGGAAAGCTTAGGGCGAGGATCCACCTCAAATTCAACGCCGCTCCGCATAGTGTCCCCAGCGCATCCAGGCAAACCACTGCTCTCGCTGGGAGTCCCAGTGGTTCCAGATTGACTAAAACCATAGACCAGTTCCGAAGGGCCCCTGGTTCCTTACGCGATGCACTGGGGTCACTGATCGAGTGGGACTTCAACTCACCCGATCCCGGTTTCATCCCCCCCCGACCCTCGGGGTTTCATCCCCCCCCACACACCTCGCAGAGACCGTGCAATGCACGCCATGCACGGCTCGCCTCGGTCGCGCGAGGCGGCTCAGCGCCGATCTCGCTGAGTTGAGATTGGTGGGCCGAGACGGACACCTGAAAACCCCCCACCTCCAAGCGAGTTGGCGCACGTGAAAGCTAGCGCACGCATGCGTCAACCAGTGCGCACACCGCACGGTTGGGCATTTTTTCAGGAAGAGCACCATTGGCGTGGTGGAACATGGCTTCTTTACAGGTCGGGGCTCCTCAGTGGACGGTCGTGTGTTCTTGGTGCAGAGGTCGGCAGTGACGAGGGCTTCCACTGCCTGCGAATTGGCCGGTGAGGTTCTTTCCCAGGTTCTTTTTAGGGGGATAGTTGGTACATTGCGCCACGTGAGATGCTGCTACACATTC